AGGATGGGATCAGGAGCCAGGGTGGTTCCTGCAATTCTGGGATGTCCCAGTTAAAACAGGACACTTGTGCGGTATGTTGATCATGAAGGAAATTCATTGGATATAATACATTGGGAATGTTTCCTGCACATATTTCTCATTGGAGATGATCGTGATGATGATAAATAGCAGACTTTTAATAAAAATAGAAAATTTCTATGTTTAGTATCCTTTGTGACTTGACCTGCATCTTTTCTTTGTTATTAAGCCTGTGCCTGCTCTATTGTTCACATTTATGAAGTCAGAATCCTGTTTCTCAACAACGATTCTTCTTCTTCTTCTTCTATTCTTTTACTTCAAGCTCATTTTTTAAAAAAAGCACTGGGAACTGTAGACTTAGACCTCTCTGCGTATAGTGTTTTGTACTTTGACTAGCACACTGTTATTCTGAATGCTCCATTGTCCTGTTCAGTGTTTGCTCGAGTATGCACATACTTTCCAACCATAAAAGTAGATCATCTCTCAAACTTGCCAGGGAGTTAATTTGAACCCGAGTCACCTTGGTGCCAGACCAGTGTTTTCATTTGCTTGCTTACAAATACGGTATCTGCAGTTGCTAAGCTGCTGAATGAGCATCATCCAGCCATGGGTGGCTAATATACTATGATGTCATAATGAGCCTGGGCAGATAGAGAGGCCACAGAGGTGCTGAGTAGTCTAGGATTAGAGAGAAGAGGGGCTGTATCTCAGAAGATGAAGAAGATACCAGATTCCCAGATTCAATTTCTGTCATCTTCAGGTAAGGCTAAGAAACACCTCTACGTTAAGACACCTCACCCACCAACATTTATCCGATGAAAATAGAGATCTCCCCTCCAACAGTTCTCTGATGAAAATAGGCATGTCCTATTTCAAAGAGTGAAAATTTGTTGCCATATTTCAAAAAGTGAAAAATCCGGACACAAAAGTTGTTGAGCTTTTTTGGGCAAAACTTCAAAAACACAAACAAACATGAAGTTTTGAGTTATTCTTAAGGAAAATCTAGACTTCCCAGACATTTCAGTCAGTGATTTCTGCCTGGACACTGTTTCCAACTGCCATATGTCCAGGAAATTCAGAACATATGGCAGCCCTACCATACCCGCCAACAGTTCTCCGATGAAAATAGGGACATCCTACCTTCGCATCCAACGTTTCTCTGTTGAAAATACGGACGTCCTAAGGAAAAGCTGGGTGGCTTCTGTAAATGCAGGATCATCCATGGAAAATAGGGACACTTGGAGGGTTTGGACACTGTCATCAGTGTAGGCAATACTAAGCAAAGGTCTGGCTCAGTATGAGGCAGCGTCATAGAGGTTCTTGAGAAGGACCTGGGAGATGAAGGACCATGAGTACCAAACTCACTGAAATCAGGGCCACACCTAAGTCTGCATACATAGGACTGGATAACTTTTGTGAAGTTATACATTCCCACTTAGAATTATTATTATTATTATTATTATTATTATTATTATTATTAATAATACCCCAGCCATCTGGCTGGGTTTCCCCAGCCCCTCTGGGTGGCTCCCAACAGAATATTAAAAACATAAAACATCACACATTAAAAACTTCCCTAAACAGGTCTGCCTTCAGATATCTTCTAAAGGTCAGAGAGTTGTTTATTTCCTTGACATCTGGTGGGAGGGCATTCCACAGGGCAGGCACCACTTCCGAGAAGGCCCTCTGCCTGGTTCCCTGTAACCTCACTTCTTGCAGTTAGGGAACTGCCTGAAGGCCTTTGGAGCTGGATAGAGGGCTGCCTTCAGATTTCTTTTAAAAGTTGTGTAGTTCTTTTTGAATCTGATGGGAGGGTGTTCCACAAGAAGGGTGCCATTGCTGAGAAGGCCCTCTGCCTGGTTCCCTGTAGCTTTACTTCACGCAGTGAGGGAACCGCCAGAAGGCCCTCGGAGCTGGACCTCAGTGTCTGGGCTGAACGATGGCAGTGGAGACGCTCCTTCAGGCTATGCTTAGGGTGGTTAGTAGTTGCATTGAGTGGGAGGAGAAAGATGCTGGAGGTACCTTGGAGAGGTGGTTTGTATACAAGGGAGGTTACACAGGAGGAAGAGAGAGGCATGGACATGGAGGTGAAGGTAAAAACGGCTGCAAAGTGGAATTGCCGAATAAAAGACTTCAACTTCAACAATGTCCTTGCTGAACCCTCACTTCCACAGAAGCTGGGACTCTAACCCATAAGCAAAGGGCAATGGCGGGGTAAAGTACATTATACGAATGGGAGACAAGTGATGCATATCCTAAATCATCAAAATGACTCTGGTGAATGTGCTTATACCATATGCTGCAACAGAAAGAAACAGATTGGGCATCCAAACACTGCAGATGAGGGGGCAGAAATGGCCGTTATTGTCCCTTAGAAACTCAGTAAAATGAAGGATATCTGCCACTGATATATAAAAAGTAACTCCTGTAATTACATAGCATGATCCTTGAGGTATCAAAAGCTTTATGGCTGTTTAAAAAGAAGGTCCATTCCAGAGATGTATTGCATGCCCTCAGAAATTTCAGACACTATTAATTCCAACCACTGTAGGGAAGGCACTGCAGCGATGTTTAGCTCATAACTCAGAAGTTTTATTTTGACTCTAAAGTTACTGAAAAGTTAAGGATCAAGGTTAACAGACTCAAAATTTAATCTACTCTAAGAACATGGTTGATGTGGGTTGGGGGAGGGGATGATTGCAAGGAAACAAAAACACCAACTTGACCCAAAATGAAGTCAGTAACTGCACCATCCGGATTCTAAAGACAACATCTGGGGCCCTTGATTTCTCTTGTATCTATGCATAGAAGGAATGTGATTGTACTGTTTTGCTAAAATTTGATTTTAGTGCTCCAATCCACTCCTGGCAGCAGCCTTTTGATTATTGCTCTTGTGAATGTGTTGCTCTTTTGTAAGCTGCCTGGGTTATTTTGTCAATGTAAAAGCCGAGGTAAACATTCATTCATTTTTATTTTTATTATTAAATTTATAATTCCTCCCAAATGAGCCCAGGGCAGCAATGAACAAGGAATAAAATAATAATAAAAATATTTAAAATATGATTTTCAATTTATAAATAATAAAAAGTTAGACTTTCCCCCATTTCCTTCCATTTTGGCTTTTACAAAAACGAGAATGGGAGGTTTGTTATTAGGATGCAGATATGTCCCATAAATTTGAGGGGCTTCTTAGGGTGGCAAATTCTGTAAATCTGAACACATTGCACCCCACCATGGGCCTTGCTCCTAATGCAACCTTGACCATGCAGTATCAAATCAGGGCATTTTTTGCTGCCCTTACATTTTCCTCGTATCACTGTCTGTGGCAGCCATTGACACTGAATGGTTTACTCATGGGCGTTGGTGAGATGGGAGCTAATCCTGTCCCCTTGTGCCTGGGGCTCAGTTTCATGGCATAGGACAACATTCTTTGACCTGATGCTCTCTGGATGTGATGGACTACAACTCCCATAAGCCATGACCATGGCCCCTGTGTCATGGAATTCTATTCAGTATTGATCTAGAGCAGAACTCCAATGTATAGTTAGCATTGTAAAAACTTAAACACGTTGCAGGATTCCCAAAAATAAACCAGAAGTAATTAATATTTCATCCAGCAGAGCTTTACTGCTCCTGAAGGCAAGTGAGCATAATGGTCACAAATCCAATATATTCAGGATTGGCACTGTCCATAAGAAATCCAGTTGCAGCAGACTTAACTTAAACCTACAATAACTTATAATAAGACCAACCCTTAACACTATATACAAAACACCACACCAGAAGGAAGAGAGATAGAAAGAGAAAGTGAAACCGAGGCTGTTCCTGGCCTATTATTATAGTCAGCATGACCTTGAAGAAGAGATAACAGAACCAGTTTAAGCCAGCTGTCCTCAGCTTCTCTAAAGGAATAACCCAAACATCATGAACCTTCTGCTTGTTTCTTTCACACAGAGAAGCTTCCAGAACCCTCTTGAATTAATTAGAATAGGAAAGATCTCTACACATCAGATCAATGCTTTCTGCACCAAGAAATGCAAACTGACACCCTGATGACCAGGGCAGATGGGAATTGGAGTCCAAAATATCTGAAGGGTAACTGGTTGGGGAAGTCTGGCATAATGTGTGGCATTCGGCTAAGTTTTTCCAAGAGTTGAGCCACTGAAACAAATGAGCATGACTAAGTTTGATCCATTAATCTCACTGGGTCTGTCTACTCTGAATAAAATTTACTTGACTACCACTCAGGGGATTCCCCCCTCCAGCCAACTTTCAAATTATGTTGTCCTACAGAGTGTAGTCTCAGCCTTTGGTTGCCTTGGGTTTTATTTTTGGGTCCTGCTAGAATGACCAAAGAGACGGCTAAACCCCAGAAATGGGTGTTTCCTATATGTGAATCAAAAATAACTTTAAAATGGTGCCCAACAGAGGTACAAAACTTCAGTCTTATAATTGGGCAAACATCATGACATGCACCACCGGCATTAGGAGCAGTAAAAATTAATGGCCTAATTCTTCACTGTCTGGATAAAAACAGCAAACAGTCATTTTTTGAGTGGGTAGATATAAGCGAGTGAAATGGAAATAAAGCTGTTAGTTAACAGCAAGAACTGATCTCAGAGTCAATTGGTTTCCTAGTGCTATACGATTCCAAAATAAGCGCTCCCTATAATGAGCTAAAAAGATAAACACCCAGCAATCTGCACAAATGTACAGTATACTCTGAAGATATTAATTTGCCTCAGGACCCAGACAATCACATATAGGTAATTAACATAATGCATTGTTGCAATGGGCTCAGGAAGAAGTGTGAGGCTTTTGAAGAGAGGCCTTCAAACTGGAATCATTTGCAAACTTAATTTTGCATGCAGGAAATAATACCACAAGCAAAATGTTGAAGGCAGATATTCAGGGAGCCTGTTGTCACAATGCAGACACTATATAATGTGCCCAATTAGTTTCAGCTAGTTGTTTTATTGTGAAGCGCATTTTCAGATGGGAATGTTAATCCGGTATTCTGGCAGCCATTGCTAATTCCACGAAAGCCTTTACATCCACGGATAGCATTCTGTTCCTCATTTGGTCTGTTTCCCTTGTAGGCTTTCCCCAATTCTATTCTGTCGTAATTAGAAGACATGTAAAACCCTATCTATAATTGGTTGGGATCTCCCTAAAGAGAAAATAAAATACAGAACTGAAACAAGGAGAAAAACATTTCTCCCAAGATGCATAAAAATGGAATGTGGATTTGCAGTCATACTAACTTCAAATTTGTTTATCATATAAAACACCCTGGCAAGGATGAATTAAACCCTGTTCAAATAACATCATGAATCCTTTCAACCTCAGCTCTAACTGAAAGGCCAGGGCAAAGGCAAAGGCAAAAGCAAAGGCCAGGCCAAAAGGCAAAGGCCCGGGCCAAGGCGAAGGCCTGAACCATGCCAAAGCCAAAGGCCTGGGCCATGGCAAAGGCAAAGGCAAATGCCCAGGCTAGGGCGAAGGCGAAGGCCCGGGCTAGGGTGATGGCAAATGTTAAATGTTTGGGAAAAGTCAGAAGCCCAAGGCAGTATAAGTTTCTCAACTACGTTTATTCAACATTGTCAGTGACAATGGCTCACTCATAGGAAGACAAAACCCGAACTCACAGGACTACAAAATAAAAGCCCTAACATGAACTGACTGTTGACAGTTGACAGTTGACAGTGCATGCGCTTACTTGCCATTAGAACATTCGTCTTCCAACGCTTATACAGTTGGTTAGAATGCGTCTTGTAACATAAAAAGTGTTAAACCCAATACATAACACTCCTCCCCCCAACTTCCTAACAAAAGGAACAAACATAGTCATCAAGGTGTGCTGGCCTTTTCCGCTCCCGCTGGGACCGTTATGGTTCCTGTGCCCGAGTGGGTGACCCAGGAGGTTCCTCCGGTACCCGTGGTCTGAGTGGGGCAGTCAGCGAGGCCGGCTCCGAAGGGGTTACTGCCGATGGAGCCACTGAGGATTCCAGCCTGAAGTCGCCCTGCTGGGGTAACTCAATCACTGGCAACCCGTCTGGTTCCCACTCTGGCCTGGGCACAGAATCTCCTGAAATACCCATTTCTCTGTCCTCTGGTTCCAATTGGAGTTCCGTGTTCGGAGGTGTCCTGGCTCTGATCTGGTCGATGTGTCTCTTCCAAACCAGTCCCCCCTCCAAACCTACCTTGTAGGAAGCCGGAACTGTACAGTGAGCAATGATACCTGGGACCCAACCCTGTCTGGGCCCATAGTTTCGGACGTACACAGTGTCCCCAGGGGAGAACCCTCTTGGAGCCCCCTGCACCACAGCAGATGGCCGTTGCTCAAGAGCCCAGTCGGGGTGCATACGATCAAGGAGGGTAGTGAGCCTCCTTCCCATAAGTAACTCCGCCAGGCTCCGGCCGGTCACTGTGCTTGGGGTGATGTGTTGGGCCAATAAGAACTCCGCTAGCCGGAGAGTCCAATCTCCATGCACTATGCGCCTAAGCGCATCTTTGGTAGTATGGACCATGCATCCAGCTTGGCCGTTAGTGGCCAGGTGAAAAGGAGCGGAACGAATGTGGTGGATTCCATTCTTGGTTACAAATTCTTTGAATTCCGCCGAAGTAAAAGCGGTCCAATTATCACTCACCAGTGTGTCTGGCAAGCCGTGTGTCGCGAATAGCTTCCTGAGCGCGTTTATAGTCGCTCTAGCGGACACAGTTAAGGTCGGCACCACCTCGAGCCACTTGGACTGAGAGTCAACCACTATTAGGAAGTGTTGGCCCTGAAAAGGCCCCGTGAAATCCACGTGCACCCGGGACCATGGGGACTGTGTGGACTCCCAGGACTGTACTGGTCCTTGGGTGGATCCGGCCGGGAGACATGGCAGGGCTCACGTTTCACCCAGCCCTCTATCTCCGCATCTATGCCTGGCCACCACAGATAGCTACAGGCCAATGCCTTCATCCAGATGATCCCCAGGTGAGACACCTGCAGCCCTTCTAAGACTTTTTTCCTTAACGGGACGGACGGACTATAACATGGCTACCCCATAACAGGCATCCTTGGTGAGTAGACAGCTTGTCCTTGCAGGCTGTGTAGAATGAAATTTCTGCACCCGGCTTCCTGGGCCACCCCCTCCCCACCCAGTCCAAGACGCGGGACAATAGCCTATCCTTCGTGGTTGCGGGTGCAATGTACTTCACATGCAAGGGCTGGTCCGGTAAGTCTTCCAGCCGCAGGATCTGGCGGGCAGGAGCAGGGTCAGGGCCGCTCTCCGACAGTGGCTAGCAGCTGAGTGCATCTGCGTGACCCATGGCTTTCCTGGGTCAGTGCTGTAGCGAGTATTGGTAATCGGCCAGGAAAATGGACCAGCGCAATACTCGTGGCGAAAGCATCTGGGGTGTCTGGCGGTCAGGTGCAGAGAGTCCCAGGAGTGGCTTGTGGTCAGTAACAATAGTGAAAGGCCGACCATAAAGGAAGTCATGGATGTGCTACTGACAGTGCTGGGAAGTTCCGCCATCACTCTACTAGAAGGTCTGATGGCACCCAGGGACATAGAGGCATGCACTTTCGATGAGCTGACACAGGCTATGACAAGACACCTTGCGCCTCAGCCAACTAAGAACCACCGCCTCTATGACATTGCGCACAGAGAACAACAAGCACAAGAGTCAATGAGTGAATACATCACAGCACTCCAGGCGATTGCAATGTACTGCCGATTCACTGACATCGAGGAACGACTTATTGAAAGGTTCATCAGTAACGTGCAAGATGATATCACGATGATGGAAGCAATGACTATGGCCATGGTCTTTGAGAAGGATAACACTCATGAGGTGGCCCACAGCCCACGTACCGAAAGGACAACTCACCACATCCAGCGAGACCGGTCGTCTTCTGTAGATTCCTACAATGAGGATGTCCACTGAGCTTCGGACCGATCTGACCGACACCACCTCAGTCTTACTTGAAGATGACAGAAAATGAATCTGGGAATCTGGGATCTTCATCTTCTGAGATACAGCCCCTCTTCTCTCTAATCCTAGACTACTCACCTAAACTACTCAGCACCTCTGTGACATCTCTATCTGCCAAGGCTCATTATGACATCATAGTATATCAGCCACCCATGGCTGGATGATGCTCATTCAGCAGCTTAGCAACTGCAGATATCATATTTGTAAGCAAGCAAATGAAAACACTGGTCTGGCACCAAGGTGACTCGGGTTCAAATTAAGTCCCTGGCAAGTTTGAGAGATGATCTACTTTTATGGTGGGAAAGTATGTGCATACTCGAGCAAACACTGAACAGGACAATGGAGCGTTCAGAATAACAGTGTGCTAGTCAAAGTACAAAACACTATACGCAGACAGGTTTAAGTCAACAGTTCCTAGTGCTTTTTTTAAAAAATGAGTTTGAAGTAAAAGAATAGAAGAATAATCATAATAATCATTGCTGAGAAACAGGATTCTGACTTCATAAATATGAACAATAGAGCAGGCACAGGCTTAATAACAAAAGAAAGATGCAGGTCAAGTCACAAAGGATACTAAACATATAAATTTTCTATTATTATTAAAAGTCTGCTATTTATCATCATCACGATCATCTCCAATGAGAAATAGGTGCAGGAAACATTCCCAATGTATTATGTCCAATGAATTTCCTTCATGATCAACATACCGCACAAGTGTCCTGTTTTAACTGGGACATCCCAGAATTACAGGAACCACCCTGGCTCCTGATCCCATCCTGGGATGTCCTGGGATTTCAGCCAACGGGGACTTAAATCCCCTGCAATCAGAACTGAAGCTTCAGTGCTCACCATCGTAGAATTGCGTGGCTATAAGGAACCTCTACACTTGCTAGCTGTGAGCCTTGAAGAAATCAAGTGGAATGCAAATATGGGATTGATAAACCCAATCAATTCAATCTAGGTTCACCTGAACTGGAACCAGGATCAGAACAGAAAGTATTGCCTGCATCTTCTGCGGCTACTTGGCCCCTACCCTGGTTAGCCTTGTGAGTTGCTGGAATACAGGCCTAAGCAAAACATCTGCACATCAGTGTTGTTCCCTAAGCACCACTACCCAGGAATTGCTCTTTGAAATTCTCTTTCACGCCTTAGGAGCTTAGCACCAGAAAACATACACAAACAGAGCTGACAGAATAAATTCACAGCCCCTTTCCCCTCTTTCTTTTGAGCAACGCTGAAGAGAATTTCTCAGACACATTACCTGCTTGACGTGCAGCTTGAGAACAAACAGATCTTAATGTTACCATCTGCAAATTGCATGCAGAGGCCAAGACTGTTCAGCTTCCGTTACCGCTGGATGCCAAGGTGGCAGCAGAAACGTGAGAGATTCTGCCAGTGCTCTTTTGCTCCTTCCTCTTTCTTTATTCCTTCTGAAGTCATGACTTAATTAGCGTCATCAAAAAAAGGAAGAAAGGGAGGCAAAGAAGCAGCAGCGTATTTGTGAATGGGCACAGGAGAGCAGGAACAAATATAAAAAGAAATGATATTTATTGTCAGATGCATGCTTTCCATGCATGCAAGTCCTCCCCCCCAGCATCCACATGATGTTAGCCTGTATGCCCCCCTCCCCACCTTTTAATATGGATTTACCCCTCCCTGTAAGTTAAAAAACACACACACAACCTCTTGCCAATTACCAGTTCCTGGTATCTCAATGTTTGCAATACTAAGTCCCCATCTGGAAGCACATTTTCTTTCTTGGAGATTTAAAAGGGAACGTGGAAATTTTTCACCCTATCCAACCTTTTAAATTCAAGAGCAGAACTTAAAGCAGCACCAATTATGATTACAGATAGGTGCTCTTAGACCACTAATATAAAAGGGGGGATGGATGTGATTTAAGAAAATAGATGGATAATATTGAGGTCCTTGCCTACATTATCCCAATAATCTTTACATTAGCCCTGCAGAGTGATACAGAGTTATTATCCCTAGAGTGCAGAACAAAAGCTGAGTTCTTGATGGAGGTAAAAGGCCGGTCCAGACTTTATTCCCTCCCCACTTTTTTTCAGGTGTTATACTACAACATGTCATTGACACAATAAAAGTGCATTAGTGGTGGATTGATAACAGAGCATTCACATATCATCCCGATTTATTAGGCATTCTGAAATTCTTCCCCAGTGTCACTGCATTGCTGCAACCTAAAGAGGCACTCTTAAATGAATGTGCAACAAAAGCAAGACACCTCCATCCCAGCAACCTCACCCATCTCTGGACCTTAAATTGAGGCTCATACAACAAAAAATAATATTTAGATTTAGAATATACTGTACCCATTATGTTTGTTTAGAAAGGGGTTATCCCTATTGCATATTCCCTTGTAAGCTTGATGATACAAGGATATTATTAACCCAGTAATCGCTTTTAAAAAATAATTTTTATTTGATTTTATAAGCATAAAGTTATAATAATACCAAGTACATATCCATATTTAGGGATTTCTCTGAATCTCCAGACTTCACACCATCCCCTTCAAGGGTCTTATTGTTAATGTTTTCAACTGCATATTATTTCATGAGCCATATTTTGTATCTCTCCATATTGTCCATAGTGATTGTTACATCACAAGTGTTATTAAAATCCTGCTAATGTTTTCATCTGCTTATAGTGGTCTCCTTAATAAATTATCCCCCCCCCCCCATTCTTTCTTGAAGTTTTTGCCTTCTTGGTTCCTGAGTTTTCCAGTCAGTTTTGCCATCTCGCCATAGTCCATCTGCTGAGTTTGCCAGTCCTGTCTGCTAGGGACTTTGTCTCCTTTGGTTTGGCGGTGAAAACAGAAGGCTTTTTATCCTAGGCTTGGAAATCAGGCCTCGATGCCTTAAGCTGCGGAAAATCTTTTTTGGAAAAAATCCCTAACCCACGGGATCAGAATTTCACAAAAAATCTGACGCTCTGCAATTCACTCAAAAATGGTGCCAAACTGTTGCAAATGCTCCCCTGAAAGGTTTGGTGGTGAAAACAGAAGGGTTTTTCATCCTAGGCTAAGAAATCAGGCCTGGACGCCTTAAGCTGTGGAAAATCTTTTTTTGAAAAAACCCTTAACCAGAATTTCACAAAAAATCTGACGTTATGCAATTCACTCAAAAATGGTGCCAAACTGTTGCAAATGCTCCCCTGAAAGGTTTGGCAGTGAAAACAGACGGCTTTTTATCCTAGGCTTAGAAATCAGGCTTCAACGCCTTACCATGCAGAAAGTCTTTTTTTGACAAAATCCCTAACGCGGGGAAAGAATTTCAAAAAAATCTGACATTGTGCAATTCACTCAAAAATGGTGCCACACTGTTGCAAATGCTCCCCTGAAAGTTTGGCGGTGAAAACAGAAGGGTTTTTATCATAGGTCAAACAATCAGGCCTGACGCCTTAACCTGCAGAAAAACTGTTTTTTGAAAAAATCCTTAAGCTGCACGGTCACAATTGCAGAAAAAACCTGACATTCACTCAAAAATCGGTTGGAACCGGTCCAAGCTGATTGGAACCTCTCCACGCCAGTTTGAACCGGTCTAAGCAGATTGGAACTGGTCTAGACTAGTCGGAACCGGTCCAGACCGGTTTGAAATGGTTGAACCCATATTCCTCCAGTTAAAGCTGGTTTGAACCGGTCCAAGCTTGTTTGAACCGATCTAGACCGGTTGGAACCAGTTGAACCCAGATTCCTCAGGTCGAAGCCGGTTTGAACCGGTCCAAGCTGGTTGGAACCGGTCTAAACTGGTTGGAACCGGTCCAGACGGGTTGGAACTGGTTGAAGGCAGTTGGAACCAGTCCAAGCCAGTTTGAACCGGTCCAAGCAGGTTGGAACTGGCCTAGAGAGCCAGTGTGGTGTAGTGGTTAAGAGCGGTAGTTTCGTAATCTGGGGAACCGGGTTCACGTCTCCGCTCCTCCACATGCAGCTGCTGGGTGACCTTGGGCCTGTCACACTTCTTTGAAGTCTCTCAGCCTCACTCACCTCACAGAGTGTTTGTTGTGGGGGAGGAAGGGAAAGGAGAATGTTAGCCGCTTTGAGACTCCTGAAGGGGAGTGAAAGGCAGGATATCAAATCCAAACTCTTCTTCTTCTTCTTCTAGACTTGTTGGAACCGGTCCAGACTGGTTTGAACCGGATGAACCTGGATTCCACCAGTTGAAGCTAGTTGGAACCGGTCCAAGCTGGTTGGAACCAGTCCAGACTGGTTTGAACTGGTTGCTTCCAGTTTGAACCGGACCAAGCTGGTTGGAACCGGTCTAGACCGGTTGGAACTTGTTCAGACCGGTTGGATCCAGTTCAGACCGGTTGGAACCGGTCCAAGCCTGTTGGAACCGGTCGAGACCAGTGTGAACCAGTCCAAGCCGGTTTGAACCAGTCGAAGCTGATTTCACCCGGTCCATGCGGTTTGGAACTGGTCCAAGCTGGTTGGACCCGGTCTAGACCGGTTGGAACTGGTCCAGACCGGTTTGAACCAGTTGAAGCCAGTTTGAACTGGTCTACACCAGTTGGAACCAGTCTAGACCGGTTCAAACTGGTTGAAGCTGGTTTGAACCAGTTTAGACCAGTTGGAACTGGTCCAAGCTGGTTGGAACCGGTCTAGACTGGTTGGAACTGGTTCAAACCGGTTTGAACCGGTCTAGACCGGTTGGAACTAATTCAAACTGGTTGGAACCGGTCTAGACCGGTTGGAACTAGTTCAGACTGGTTGGAACCGGTTCAGACCGATTGGAACTGGTTGAAGCCGGTTTGAACTGGTCCAAGCTGCTTGTAACTGGACTAGTTGGAACCGGTCCAGACTGGTTTGAACAAGTTGAACCTGGATTCCACCGGTTGAAGCCAGTTTGAACTGATCCAATATGGTTTGAACTGTTCTAGACTGGTTGAAACTGGTCCAGACTGGTTTGAAACCGGCTCAGACCAGTTTGAACCGGTCCAAGAGGGCTGGAACCAGTCTAGAACAGTTGGAACTGTTTCAGACTGGTTGGAACCGGTTCAGACCGGTTGGAATCGGTTGAAGCCGATTTAAAGTGGTCCAAGCTGTTGGAACCAGTCTCAGACCAGTTTGAACCGGTCCAAGAAGGCTGGAACCAGTCTAGAACAGTTGGAACTGTTTCAGACCGGTTGGAACTGGTTCAAACCGGTTGGAACCGGTTCAGACCCGTTGGAACCGGGTGAAGCAGGTTTGAATTGGTCCAAGCTGGTTGGAACTGGTCTAGACCGGTTGGAACTGGTTCAGACCGGTTGGAACCGTTTGAAGCCAGTTAGAACCGGTTCAGACCAGTTGGAACCAGTCCAACCTGGTTGAAACCGGTTCAGGCCGGTTGGAACCGGTTGAATCTAGTTTGAACCGGTCTAAACTGGTTGGAACCAGTCCAAGCTGGTTGAAACCGGTTCAGACCAGTTGGAACCGGTTGAATCTAGTTTGAACTGGTCTAAACTGGTTGGAACCGGCCCAAGCCGGTTGGAACCGGTTCAGGCCGGTTGGAACCGGTTAAATCCAGTTTGTTTGTTTGTGTTTGTTTTTTAAAAATAATTTTTATTAAAATTTTGAACAACAAAGAAAGAAAAAAAAACATCCACAATACATATAACAACAACACACACAAAAAACACAACAAAATTCAACAAAAAAAACAAAAAACGAAAAGGATAACAGTTAAAAACAATATCTCTTTTCCCTATCCGTTTTTTAGTTACTTATTTTCTGGACTTCCACATACCTCCCTCTTTTGTATTCCAATCCAAATTGTTTGTCCAGCAATTTCTTTTCCACTTTTTTAATCCCAATCTTTAGCTTTAATAAGATATTAAAATGTATAACTTCAACTTCTTTAAACCTGATCTTTAGTCTTAGTGTCATATAACATTAAATTTTTTCCTCTTAATATCAAATTTCCATTTCTTTAAACATCTTTAATCCTAATCTTTAATCTTAGTCTATCATTAACTTTAACCTGTACAGCTGGAAACCGCTTATTTTCAGTCCAACATCACTCTAACATTCCTTAATTTTGCAATGTTTCTGAAGATAGTCTTTAAATTTGAACTGGTTTAGACCAGTTGGAACTAGTCCAAGCTGGATGAAACCGGTTCAGGCCGGTCCAAGAAGGCTGGAGCCAGTCCAAGAAGGTTGGAACCGGTTGAAGCCGGTTTAAAGTGGTCCAAGCTGTTTGGAACCGGTCTAGACTGGTTGGAACTGATTCAAACCGGTTGGAACTGGTTCAGACCCGTTGGAACCAATTGTAGCAAGTTAGAACCGGTTCAGACGGGTTGGAACCGGTCCAAGCTGGTTGAAACCAGTTCACGCCTGTTGGAAACGGTTGCATCTAGTTTGAACCAATCTAGACTGGTTGGAACCGGCCAAGCTGGTTGAAACTGGTTCAGACCGGTTGGAACCGGTTGAATCCAGTTAGAACCGGTTCAGACCGGTTGGAACTGTTTCAGACCGGGTGGAACCGGTTGAAGCAGGTTTAAAGTGGTGCAAGCTGCTTGTAACTAGTCTAGACCGGTTGGAACCAGTTCAGACCGGTTTGAAGCGGTCGAACCCAGTTGGAACCGATCCAGACCAGTTTGAACCAGTCCAAGCTGGTTTAAAGCTGTTGAAGCTGGTTTGAACCGGTCCAAGTAGGTTGGAAATGGTCTAGACTAGTTGGAACCGGTATAGACTGGTTTGAACGAGTTGAACATGGATTCCACCAGTCGAAGCAGGTTTGAACTGATCCAAGCTGGTTGGAACTGGTCTAGACTGGTTGGAACCAGTGCAGACTGGTTTGAAACTGGTTCAGACCGGTTGGAACCAGTTGAATCTAGTTAGAACCAGTTCAGACCCGTTCGAACCGGTTGGAGCAGGTTTGAATTGGTCCAAGCTGGTTGGAACTGGTTCAGACCGGTTGGAACAGATTCAGACTGGTTGGAACCGGTTGAAGCCAGTTAGAACCGGTTCAGACCGGTTGGAACCGGTTGAATCTAGTTTGAACCGGTCTAGACCGGTTGGAACCAGTCCAAGCTGGTTGAAACCGGTTCAAACCAGTTGGAACCGGTTGAAGCCAGTTATAACCAGTTCAGACCTGTTGGAACCGGTTGAATCTAGTTTGAACCGGTCTAGACCGGTTGGAACCAGTCCAAGCTGATTGAAACCGGTTCAGACCAGTTGGAACCGGTTAATCCAGATAGAACCGGTTCAGACCGGTTGGAACTGGTTGAAGCCAGTTAGAACCGGTTCAGACCGGTTGGAACCAGTTGAATCCAGTTATAACCGGTCCAGACCGATTGGAACCGGTTGAATCCAGTTGGAACCGGTTCAGACCGGTTGGAACCGGTTGAAGCCAGTTAGAACAGGTTCAGACCGGTTGGAACCGGTTCAAGCTGGTTGAAACCGGTTCAGGCCAGTTAGAACCGATTGAATCTAGTTTGAACCGGTCTAAACCGGTTGGAACCAGTCCAAGCTGGTTGGAACCGGTTCAGTCCGGTTGGAACTGGTTGAATCTAGTTTGAACTGGTTTAGACCGGAACTGGTCTAGACTTGTTGGAACTGGTCCAGACCGGTTTGAACCGGATGAACCTGGATTCCACCGGTGGAAGCTAGTTGGAACCAGTCCAAGCAGGTTGGAACTGGTCAAGACCGATTGGAACCGGTCCAGACCAGTTCGAACTGGTTGAAGCCAGTTGTAACTGCTCCAAGCCGGTTGGAACCGGTCAAGACCGGTTGGATCCACTTCGGACCGGTTGGAACCGGTCGAAGCCAGTTGGAACCGGTCGAGACCAGTGTGAACCAGTCTAAGCCGGTTTGAACCAGTCGAAGCTGGTTTCACCCGGTCCATGCGATTTGGAACTGGTCTAGACCGGTTGGAACAGGTCCAGACCGGTTTGTACCGGTTGAAGCCAGTTTGAACCGGTTTACACCAGTTGGAACTGGTCCAAGCTGGTTGGAACCAGTTGAATCCAGTTAGAACCATTTCAAACCGGTTGGAACTGGTTGAAGCCAGTTAGAACCGGTTCAGACTGCTTAGAACCAGTTTAGGCTGGTTGGAACCGGTTGAATCTAGTTTGAACCGGTCTAGACCGGTTGGAACCAGTCCAAGCTGATTGAAACCAGTTCAGACCAGTTGGAACCGGTTAATCCAGTTAGAATCGGTTCAGACCGGTTGGAACCGGTTGAAGCCAGTTAGAACCGGTTCAGACCGGTTGGAACCGGTCCAAGCTGGTTGAAACCAGTTCAGACCAGTTGGAACCGGTTAATTCAGTTAGAACCAGATCAGACCGGTTGGAACCGGTTGAATCCAGTTATAACCGGTTCAGACCGGTTGGAACCGGTTGAAGCCAGTTATAACCGGTTCAGACCGGTTGGAACCGGTTGAATCCAGTTATAACCGGTGCAGACCGGTTGGAACCGGTTGAAGCCAGTTATAACCGGTTCAGACTGGTTGGAACTGGTTCAAACTGGTTGGAACCTGTTCAGACCGGTTGGAACCGGTTGAAGCCAGTTTGAACCGGTCTAAACCAGTTGGAACCAGTCCAAGCTGGTTGGATCCGGTTCAGGCCGGTTCGAACGGGTTGAATCCTGTTTGAACTGGTTTAGACCAGTTGGAACCAGTTGAATCCAGTTTGAACTGGTTTAGACCAGTTGGAACTGTTCCAAGCTGGATGAAACCAGTTCAGACCAGTCCAAGAAGGCTGGAACTGTTTCAGACCGGTTGGAACCGGTTCAGACCGGTTGGAACTGGTTGAAGCTGGTTTAAAGTGGTCCACGCTGTTTGGAACCGGTCTAGACTGGTTGGAACTGGTTCAAACCGGTTGGAACCGGTTCAGACCGGTTGGAACCAGTTGAAGCCGGTTTAAAGTGGTCCAAGCTGTTTGGAACCAGTCTAGACTGGTTGGAACTGGTTCAAACTGGTTGGAACCTGTTCAGACCGGTTGGAACCGGTTGAAGCCAGTTTGAACCGGTCTAAACCGGTTGGAACCAGTCCAAGCTGGTTGGAACCGGTTCAGGCCGGTTCGAACGGGTTGAATCCTGTTTGAACTGGTTTAGACCGGTTGGAACCAGTTGAATCCAGTTTGAACTGGTTTAGACCAGTTGGAACTGTTCCAAGCTGGATGAAACCAGTTCAGACCAGTCCAAGAAGGCTGGAACTGTTTCAGACCGGTTGGAACCGGTTGAAGCCGGTTTAAAGTGGTCCAAGCTGTTTGGAACCGGTCTAGACTGGTTGGAACTGGTTCAAAGCGGTTGGAACCGGTTCAGACCGATTGGAACCGGTTGAAGCTGGTTTAAAGTAGTCCAAGCTGTTTGGAACCCGTCTAGACTGGTTGGAACTGTTTCAGACCCATTGGAACCGGTTGAAGCCGGTTTGAATTGTTCCAAGCTGGTTGGAACTGGTCTAGACTGGTTGGAATTGGTTCAGACCGGTTGGAACCGGTCCAAGCTGGTTGGAACCAGTCCAGACTGGTTTGAATTGGTTGCTTCCAGTTTGAACCGGTCCAAGCTGGTTGGAACCGGTCTAGACCGGTTGGAACTTGTTCAGACCGGTTGGTACCGGTTCAGACCGTATCTGATCTAGTAGCATCTGTGCCGTTATTGTTGCATACATAAAAAGTCTTTTCTGCTCTTTTGGGACGTTGGTACCTACAATTCCTAATAAGAAAGCTTCTGGTGTGTGTGTGTGTGTGTGTGTGTGTGTGTGTGTGTGTGTGTGTGTGTTACCCAGTAATCTTACTTTTGCACATCTTAATCTAGGGGAAAGCTGTAGCTCAGTGATAGAACATTTTCTTCCATGCAGATGGTTCCAGTTTCAATCCCTGGAGAGCTTCTGCCTCTCAGTGGAGCAATGGTCTGACTCAGTACAAAGCAATTTTTTATGTTTTGCTTCCCACTTTAGATTCAATTCCAGGTCCAGTTTCTTCATTACAGCCTTGCAAAATCCCAGTAACCTTTCAGATTTCTTTGTCAAACTTTTGTTTACAACAAAGCTTGCAGAAGATTTGAGAAGAATGTGGAAACTGTCCATGCTGGGATCATTTCTTATGAAGCTGAACACCACTGTCTCATTCTTTCCTCAAATTCCTGTCTGTTTGTCATACCCACCTTTTCGTCTTTGTTTCCTGTAAGCACAATACTTTACAGGCAGCATGTTCACCCTATGGCAAAACAGCAGTATGTCATGCGATGCTCTTCTGGTGGTGCTTTTCATCGGTTTTCTTGTTTCTGACAAATATGGTTTTAATCTGCTGGGTAGCTTCTCGATTGCTTGCTGCTGAGAATGCGTCTGACGGCAGGGATTTGCAAGCGGTGGTCTAGAATGCATCCCCCTTCTGGGACTGTTAAGGTGGGGTTTCCTCATTTCCAGGCTTCAGAGAAACATGTTGAAAGGTGGAATATGATAGAGCTGCGAAAACATACACCTGGTCGGATTTGTAACATTGCTACTTTTTTCCTAGGTTTCATTTCGATGTATTCTAATAAGTCAATTATTGTCCTTGTATTATTCTTTATTTGCCTTCCCAGCAGGAAGCCAGCATAATCTCTGTTTATTATTCCATTTAGGAAATTTTTCAATCCATTTGCTAGTATCCTGGCAAAGATTTTATAATCTGAATTTAGTAATGAAATTGGTCTATAATTTTTTGTATTTTTCAGATCTGCGCCTTGTTTTGGGATTAATGTTATTAATGCATCCTTCCATGAAGCTGAAATTTTTCCATCTTCTGTTATATTGTTCATAATTTTTTTTCAAGATAGGAAGCATAACTTCTTCTAATTTTTTTGTAGTAATTTATAGTAATCCCATCTGGACCTGGTGATTTGCCGTTTTTCATATTTCTTATTACTTGAGCAATTTCTTCTATTTCTATGTTAGAATCTAAATGTCTATATTCTTCTATAATTGGCGGTAATTTATTTTGTTGTAAATACTCTTTTATTTTAATTCAATCTTTATGCTCTTTTTTATGTAACGTCATATAATAATTTATAAAGATTTCTTTCATTTTTCTGGGATATACTATTTCTTCTTCTTGATCTATTATTTTATTCATAATTCTATCTGTTTGTTTTTTCTTTATCACCCAAGCTAAAATCCTGGTCTGATTTGTGGCCACAATCTCTGAACAACAGTAATAATAATTAGCAACGAGAAGAGAATAAAATTGTTCACCATGCAGCTAGGCTGTTGTATTGTTTGCTGGCTGGTGGCTAGGGGGGACTTTACCTTGGAAGAGCTGGGTAAGTCCACTGCATGGATTTTAGAGCAGGGGTACCACCTGCCACTTAAAAAGGACACACACACCCACACATATATATGGCTTTCCCCCTTTATAGCAGGGGTGGGGAACATTTTTTAACCCAAGGGGCACATCCCCTCGTCAGTGTGCATTTCTTAGTACAGAAAGTATTGATCTGATGTGTAGAGATCTTTCCTGTGCTAATTAATTCAAGAGGGTTCTGGAAGCTACTCTGTGTGAAAGAGACAAACAGAAGGTTCATGATGTTTGGGTTATTCCTTCAGAGAAGCTGAGTACAACTGGCTTAAACCACCCCCATCGTTCTACCCAGTCACTGAGATCCTGCGCCGAGGGCCTTCTGGCGGTTCCCTCACTGTGAGAAGCCAAGTTACAGGGAACCAGGCAGAGGGCCTTCTCGGTAGTGGCGCCTTCCCTGTGAAACGCCCTCCCATAAGATGTCAAAGAGATAAACAACTATCTGATGTTTAGAAGACATCTGAAGGCAGCCCTGTTTAGGGAAGCTTTTAATGTATGATGCATTACTGTATTTTAATATTTTGTTGGAAGCCGCCCAGAGTGGCTGGGGAAGCCCAGCCAGATGGGTGGGGTATTAATAATAATAATAATAATAATAATAATAATAATAATAATAAACTGATTCTCTTTCCTCTTCTGTCAAGGTCATGCTGACTATAAAAGTAAGGCCAGAAGGAGCCTCGGTTTCACTTTCTCTTTCTATCTCTCTTCCCTCTGGTGTGGTGTTCTGTATACAGTGTTAAGGTTTAGTCTTATTATAAGTTATTGTAGGTTTAAGTTAAGTCTGCTGCAACTGGATTTCTTATGGACAGTGCCAATCCTGAATGTGTTGGATTTGTGACCACTATGCTCATTTACCTTCAGTAGCCGTAAAGCGCTGCTCGATGAAATATGAATTGCCTCTGGTCTCTTTTTTGGAAATCCTGCAATGTGTTTAAGTTTTTATTGTGCTAACTATACGTCGGAGTTCTGCTCTGGAACAATATTGAGTAGAATTCCAAGGGTCCCATGCCAGTAGTAGACGCAGCCAAAGTATCAAATGTCAGGGTTACCATTAGACACTAGGCTAGTTTCTACACAAACTTGCCTGCCTCTCTCCTCCATTCAGATAAGCAAGAGGTGTTGTGGGAGTCAAGGAACGCATTCCAGCCAGGCAAAACATTCTATGCAGGGTGTGTGGCTTGGGGAGTGTCTCTATGGTGACATAGAAAACTAAGAAGGGTCACCCTTGGCCCCTGGTCCTGAAATTCCCTAACCCAACTTTAAATGGAAGGTGACAAATCACAAATTTTAAAGCCTGCATTAAACAAAAACCACTCAGGCAAGGTAAATCCATGCACACTGTCAGACCCTCCAAGGGTCCCTATTTTCCAGGAACAGTCCTGGATTGCCAGAAGCCGTCCCGGTTTTTGATTTGATCCCGGAATGTCCCACACACCCATTTTCATCAGAGAACTGTTGGAGGGTATGGAGTTATGCAACCCCTGAACCAAGGAGGTCAGTAACTATACAAGCTTTAGAAGACACCTGAAGGCAGCCCTGTATAGGGAAGTTTTTTTAAAAAAATGTTTTGTTATGTTTTTATATATTTTGGAAGCTGCCCAGAGTGACTGGGGCAACCTGGCCAGATAGGTGAGGTATAAATAATAAAGTTGTTAAATAAGACGTCCCTATTTTCATCAGCTCCTTCAAGGATCACTGCCTT